TCTCTCTCTCTCTCTCTCTCTCTCTCTCTCTCTCTCTCTCTCTCTCTCTCTCTCTCTCTCTCTCTCTCTCTCTTTCTCTCTCTTCGTTTATTAAATATTTTATTATGCATTTGCGTTGTGGTGAGGGATTGCAAATTACTTTCGTCGGAGGTGCTTCTCGTGCAGCAAACTGTTTGCGAGGATTAACTCGGCAATCCTTTAAATGCAGGGAGAATACCGACATAGAAAGATTCGAAAGTGCAGGAACTAAATAAATCGGACGACGTCCTTAGCACGCTTTTATCCGCGTGAGCCGTCGAGATTTATTAAACCTGCATATACTTCCGCATCCACTGCCTTAAGCTTAAGCTTCGATACGGTTTATTTTACTCCGGCCAGCAAGTTTCCTGAAATTCAAGCTAAACAAATGAGCTTTACCGCTGCTTTAAGAAAAACAGACGGTTTTCCTTTTAGACGCTGGTAGAATATTAAATTAAACTAATATAATGTTTGTCTTTAGTATCATGATAAGAGATGTAATCTTTCAATGCAGTGTTAAACTATATATTGCTTAATGCATTTGATAAGGAAGAAGTTTTTTAAGAAGTTATTGATTTTAATAAAGATTACAACTACCAAACAGTAATGATAATAACGAAATTATAAATAAAATATAAAAGTATTAATAACATAAAATATATAAATAAATGGGTGTATTATAAAAATTATAAAAATTATAAAATACACATGCAAAAATCATATTAAAGAGTCAAATATTGTTTAACTTACTTCTAAATCATTAATCCTTTTATTAATTATTTCCAATTTAATTAATATTCGATTATTAAATAATTATCATTTTAATATATAAAATTTACAACATGAATACGAAATTTAAAATGTTTTTGAATAAAATTTTAGATAACAATATTGTAATCGTTATAACATTGATACCTCGCAATGTATAGTCTGATATCGGCATTTTCCTGGTTATTTTTCTTCGCCAATGTTATCGAGTAAAGAAGAGATATTTCCGTCTTTCTCTTCTCAGATATTAATATTTTTACCAACGACGTAAACCATTAGACGCTACGAATATATTACTTCTTTTATTTTCCTTTTTCTCCCATCTTCTTTTCTTTTGTTACCTATTTTTTTTTATTTTCTCTAAAATCTATTTTTAAGACTAATTTTGTCAAAAAAATACTTTTTCTCTCTTTTGCTTTCTAGTATTAACAGAAATTCAATACTTGGCAAACGAAAAAAACTGATATGATAAATAAACTGTAGACTGATGAATGTAAAAAAGAATGAAAGAGACATTGAATGTTATCGCTGAAAAAATAATAACGAATGAAAATGTACGCGATTATAACCATAAATAAGGGTTGTCATCACAAGATATTTATATCATACGTTTGCTTTCTTGTTGTGACGTAATTTAGAAGAAGTTCATCGAACGAACATGCTGTGAGAGATTTGTTGATATATCACAAATTAAATAACTCTTTATATATTTTTTGAAAGAAAATTAATTGTAAATTAAATGAATAAAACTATAAATAATTATAGATAATTGAATGGCAGATGCATTTGAACCATTAGTTTCATAAAAATTGGTATTATTACATTAATAAAAGTAATAAAATATTTCTATCATTTATATTTTATCAACACAATAATAATAATAACAGTGTGCAAAATTTCTAGATATTTTTATAACTAATAAAAAGTAAATGAGAGTCATACGTATTCCGCGCACGGCCCGAATCGTTTAATTGCAAGTCGCATCATGTTCCTTGTTTCACTCCTAGAAATTTAATTCTCGAAAAGACCGGGCGGACGCTTAACTCGCGAAGTAATTATCCGCGCGGCTGATGTTAATTATCTGACGCTTGCGTTATACGCGCGAGCACTCGAAATCGACCGATCGATTTAGTTGAGACGCCACGGAGTGCCAAATGATCCCCAATGGAGCAAAACCAACCCTGGCAACACCAATCTGCCGGATATCGCGTAATTATCTAAGCAAGATAATATGCGCGCGCGAGATGCCACGTTTTATGGTAATTATCTTTCATGGCCTCTGTTACTTTGCGAATAGACATTGTCTGTTTTCAGCGATTCTACGAGATGCTATTCTACGAGAGAATCTAGAAAAAAATTTTTTCAACATTTTATAAACTCTAAAATTATCGATACACCCAGAGATTTTTGTTAAAAAAAAAATTTTTTTTAAATTAAATTTCAAGTAGTCGAAGAATTCAAATCCATATCAAATCCAATATTGCAATTATAAATAATAGAAAAATATAGATTCACCTTATATAAAATGTTATCCTATCCATTCACTTCGGAAGTGACGTTTCACGACCCTTTTTTCTGAATTAATGCTTTCTTGACTTGCATCTTTTATCGCGCATCGAAGAATTACATTGACAAAGTCCCGCATAAATCGTGGCTAAGTACGCCTTAGCGCATCCGATACACGCGCCTCCGCTAATCCGTATTAATCGCCAGCCATTCATTAGGAAGTCAGCAATGGGTGCCGCGTAATTCTGCACCTGGCGCACTCTCGCGATCAATCGCGCGCGTTTCCCTCTTACCATAAATCTTGCCGCTAAACTGTCGTTATACGCCCGCAGAAGACAATGACCAAGTAAGCTCAACGGTTGCTGAAGCATCCATTGTATCCTTGCAGGGCAGTCCGAAGAAATGCGCGATGCTTCTCTTCGATCGAAAATGATCTACTTGGTAGATGAACTTTGATAAACTTTTAAGAAATGTCGTGCACGTGGAGGTTGAAAACACACGTATTATTTAAATTCTAGGCATAAAATTCTAGCAAACAAGTCAAATTATTTGGAATAAACTATTTATTAATATTTTTTGTCGAACTTGTATAACCTGGACACTGAATGCGTGTTTTCCGCATTTGAGTCTTCTTCTTTCAGTCTCTTTTCTTATTAAGTATCAAGATCGGCTCTAAATTAAAAGATATTATCTAAATTCTACGCATAAAATTCTAACAAACAGACTAAATTATTTAGAATAAGCTATTTATTAATATTTTGTCGAACTTTTATCAAAGTAATTGAAAAACGTCGGTTGTTTTTGTATACTTTGGACATTGAATGCGTGTTTTGCGCTTTACTCATTTGAGCCCTTCTTTCAGTCTCTTTTCTCTTTAAGTGTCAAGATCGGCTCGTACCGGATTCGTTATCATTCACGGGGCTGCAAACAAGTCTAGTCGCCTCTTTATTCGCCTCGACGGCGAAACATTTAATCGGATTTCGCGATTCGCCTTCGTGAGAGACCGATCGCGCGCGGATGCACTCCCCGTTATTTTCCATCTTCCATTGTTATCGCGACGAAACAAAGGTAAGCGCGGTCGCGCAAAAAGGCCGTAGGATGAGCTTAATGGCACTGGCATGTCGCCAAATCGCACCGCGGGGTCGAATGCACCGATTGAAATGTTCATTACCGCCGCAAATCATCTGGCCGATTCGCGTAAGGAAGAGCCGTCTGTACTACTATACTATATATATATCCACCACTTCGTATCTCTTTCAGCTCGCTCAACTGCGCCAGAAATGAATTGCCACGATAAATCCGTCCGCGTCGATTTTTCTCGAGAGTCGCTTCCAAGATGATGAGTTGGGGTTCTTGGCGCTTATTACTGTGATTCGCAAACTTACGAGAGAAGACTGAGAGATCTCGCTATTTAGCACGATCATAGAAAGATACGAAAAATATTATCCCTCTCGCCTAATACTGTTTTAAAAGTATAGTCAGAATTAAATAATAAATATATTTATATTATATCTCTTCGTTGAAACAATTCTTCATTAACGATTGATTGTTCGTATTAAGTTTATGTTTATTTTTCAATAAAATTGAAAATATTGTTTTAAAAATATTATTTATAATAAAATATAATTGTATATATATATATTTTTTAATTAAATTTTAAAAACTAATAATTTTCTAATTTAATTGTAATATATATATATATATATATATATATATATATATATAGTATATAGTATATATACTCTACTACTACTCTACGTACGTACGTCGTTACTACGTTACGTACGGTTAACTAACTAAAAATTTAAACTTACTACTTCCCTCTAACTTAAACTTTAAACCCGTTTAAGTTTTAACTTTAAAAACGTAGTTAACGTTAACGTTAAACTAAACGGTTTAAAACTATTAATAGTTATTAGTATATTATATACTATATACTCTACTATATATATATATATATATATATATATATATATATATATATATATATATATATATATATATATATTATATTATATATATTTACTAATTTATTAGTAATATATATATATATATATATATATATATATATATATAGATATATAGATATTGTGTTTTATATTTTTATGAAGAAAAATTTAACATAGAGATATATATATTTTTATGTTTTGATTGCATTCTTCAATAAAATTTTTATTTTTTATTTTCTAGTTTGTACTGATAATTCGCTGAACAGGCTATAACGAAAAGCACTACGGCGAATTGGTCGATTTATAGACCTGGTGGATTTTTTGTTCCAGACAAAGCCCCCTCGGAAGCGTCCTTTAGAGGAACTGAGTATCTCACGATAGATTTGAGCAAAGGAGAACCGGTGCTCAGTACACAGGAATATGTAAGTCTCCAGTTCAGAACGAGACAGCCAAATGGACTTTTATTTTATTCCGGTAAGTACTTAGTCTATGTATGGTGAACAGTTTTTTTTGTCAATTATAATAACCTCCCTTTAAGTAGCACTTTTATTTTCACTTTTGAATTTAATTCCATTTCCGAATGCATTTGCGAGCGATAAAGAAAATACATCTCTGAAAATAACAAAAATAAATGGATGTGTTTGTTACACATCCATTTGTAGCTCATATATATATATATATATTAATATAAAAGTATAGAAGAAGTATAGAAGAAGTATATGAAAAAAATATAGATTAATATATCTGTTAAACTTTTTATTCTGGAAATAATCGAGAAGCGCACGATTAATCGAAAATAATTCGAAGGTTTATAAAGGAGGTTGATAAATGAAGTCGTATTCAATTAAGTATTAATGGATGACCGGATATTCTTTGAGGAAACGCATATAGACAATGGCACCGTCTTGGACAATGGTCGCATATTAAATCTTTACGATCTTCCTTCCTCATGACGACATTATAGCCAATTAGAACGTTTCAATGGTTTGGGTACCGGACGTACGGGCAACCAAAGAAATTTTCTTTCTCTTTCTTTTTTTTTCTGATTCTACTTAACATCCTTTTCTTATTATCCTCTTTCTACTTCTTTTATTTTAAAACTATATTATATCGTCTTTTGTTTGACCTGTATTAATCTTGACTCTAAAAATATTTCGTTTAGGATTTCTGAAAAACAGAATAGTACGTTATCAGCATCGGAAACCGATCAAATTATTTCATTTACCTATTAACCTGCAAACTTTTATATCAACCTATATATCTTTATATCAACGATTATAGAAGTTCTAATTTTACGTGTAGCTCCAACATAATTTTGGGAATAGATGTATCATTAATCATTTAAAATAATAGCGGTAAAAATATATCTGAACTTTACGCTATAAGATCAATCTCTTTTTAATATTGAAGGAATCAATGATTTTAAATAATGAATGACCTATGTCTGATGAGCACAATTTTAGCTCAAAATTGAAATTATTTAGTTGTAAATTATTAAAAATGCGTGTCGACTACGTTTAATCCACTTTTGTTTTATTAAATCGTAATTAGAAAACGGAGAGAGGGCGAACAAAGTCGAGGCAAAAGTTTGCTTCGTATATACCTTTGTATTTGGATCAGATTTTTAATTTATTGCGCCTTTATTATACCCATCTGGTATATTATGGCTTCTCCCCGGACGCACATGAACCCCCAGTTTATAGTATACTTACGTAATGAACGGTGGAATCAGCGTAGCCAAGATGGCAAGACTGCGCCATCCGCAGTAAAAGGAGGAGTTTGCACCTCCGGTTGCAGCGGCAACTCGAAACCTATATACCGGAGCCGCAATGCCGTACCACATACACTCACATATGCGCTCACACAGCCGCGTTTCCCATATCCGCACACATGCACACGTAGACGCATACGTAGCATTTGTTACTCTCCCCTGCATCTCCGCAGCGCGCTCACGCCAGGTTGCTCATTTGTTCCCGAGATAAGCTATAATACAACCGCGCATTTGAATTGCAACGTATTTCCGAGGGGCATAATAATCGTCACGCCACGCAATTTTCATTCTTACAAATCGCAGGTGTCGTCGCGGGAATTCCCTCGCAAAGCGACGTACGTAACAATTCCCTTCGAGAATTCAATCCGGATCCGTCTGACCATCTTCGTTTTTTACTACTTGCGCTTTCTATTTCCGATCTCGATTCGCTCGCACTCGCCGAGCCGCAACTTTTCTTTTACTTTCCCTACTTTTATATATTTATTTATTTTTTTTTTCCCTTTGTAAATTAAATATTCTATTGAAGTTTCTTTAACTTTCATCAACTTAAAAAATTAATCAAAATAAATTAAATTTGCAGCGGAATTGTTTCGCACAACTAACTTTCTAAATAGCTACACCCGCAACACGGTTACGCAAAGATATTTCTGGAATATAATGAGATTCGCGCGAATAATTTGCGTTTAGGGGATAATTAGGCAACGAAGTAACGAACAAACAAAACGAATTTCGTGGTATGTGCAAACGCGAACGCGTATTGATGAGCGACGATTGTTATTTTTAGTTCTAGAAATTTTGTTTGCGTTTTCAGTGATTAAATTAATATTCAGTAGCGTAGCGCGCGAGGCGTTTGGGGAAATGGGTCACCCGCGGGAACGTTCCGACCAGGGATGTAATCATAACGGAAACGCGTAGAAGCGCTCTCTCTCTCGCTCTCTCGCCGATTTCTCGCCGCGCATCCGCCACGCGGGCGCTATCTCCGCAGCGCGTAATGCGTGTTATCGCGTTTGTTTTCCCGATAGCGATCCGCGATGCGCAAATAAACGAACTCGCGGCCACGCGAACGAGAGAGCGCGATATGTAACGCGCGTAATGCACTTAGGCGCATGCTAATGCGTCGCGCCGGCAGCAATTAAGCCCGAAGTACTGTCTGCATCTTTTATACGGTCGAGTCCTCGGCTGCCCGCGGGCATAATTAATATGCGGTCGCGGCGGCCCGATTTTAAAGCGACTGCGGCGATAACCGACGTGGTGGGCGGTTTGCGAGATTCACGAGCGTAAACGACACATCCGCGCCCGCTTGCGCCTTCCGCCGATGCGCCCTAAGCGTCCCTCCTAGCGATGACAGAAATTATGATCTCTATTCCGTAGAACACGTGCCAGTGCTCCTTACATTCTTGCGTTTTTATTATTCGCTACGCACACCGAGAGTAAATCAGAAAGAATGCTTGAAAGCTTGAGAATTTTTTTCCTTTAAATTTTGTAAATTTAATAAAATGCAAGGGAAGAAAGCTTGAGGAAAATAAAATAAACTGCGGTAACATGAGGATATTTATTAAGCACAAACGCACACATACGAAACTACGTATTAAGAGAAATTTTCATAAATAATTTTACTAAAACAAACTTTTTATTTCTAGCGAAAAGTATACAATGGATAAACGTGGATAAATTATGAATAATTAAATTTCGTATATAATTTAAAAGGAAAACACACTTAGAAGTATACCTATAATGAAATTTGCTCTAATCTTTTGTTTATAATTCTTTTATATTGGGTGGATAAAAAATGATTATTTATGGACAAACGTGGATAACAAACAAATTGTGGATAATGAAATACTAATTTTGTAAAAATTCGTATTTGAGAGTGCCAATATCACAAACTTGTAACCATTCCCAAATACGAATTTTTATAAAATTAGTATCCCGTTGATTGTTCACAATTTGTCCACGTTTGTTCGATAAATAATAATTTTTATCCATTCAGCAAAAAAGAATTATAAGTAAACAAAAAATGAGAAGAAATTGCACATGCTTTAATTATTTAAATTTGCTGTAATTTTTTTATTCATTTACAATTCTTTTTCGTTTTGAGTGGACACAAAATAATTATTTTATATACTAAATCTCTCATCCTTTGGATTCTCATTTGGATTCCGATTTTTTTTTCTTAAAAGACGATTGCTTTTACCGCGAATCGAACAAGATACATTCTCAAGTACTCGAAATTATATTTGATGTGAATTATATAAAAATTCTCCGTGATATTAATCGCGTTAATTTTTAATCGCAAAAATATACTATCTATCAGCAGAATTGTCGTAATCCTCCAACTTGTTATAAGTATGACATAATCCAGGAGGATTTCCTGGAGAGCCTAGCACGGTAATTATTAACGACGATCGCCGAACGTTTTAACCGATCATGCGGATACTAAGTGCCCCGAAACTAATTGTTAAGCGATCGTAATCAATTTATACGCGTCGGATCGTGCTATAATCCGGCGGGCGAGCTCGACGAAAAATGGAGCGAGCGAGGGAAATCGATGGCGCGATGTCGCCGCGAGGATTAAAAAGTTGCGTCGGAATCTACCTAGTGCACCGCTGCCGATTTTTTTTTTTTTCAGGCAATGCGTGCGACGTGACGTTAACGCGTCAAAAGGGATCGCACTCAATGGACGGTAATGTCGCGTCAACACAGACGCAACTTTAAAACGTCCGTGACGGACCGAGAGGCTGCGAGCGTTTTCCGTTTTCGACGTTCTCACATCAGTCGCTGTCACAATTAATTCAGTGGCATTATTTGTCCCTTGAAAAGAGCGAGATAAAAGTTTATGCGCCGTGCGATATTTATTAAGCGCGTACTCACGGCACTCACCGTGGCTTCATTAGTCCCGCTTTTTAATTACAGGAGAGGGCGATGATTATCTCATCATATCGCTGAGAGACGGAGGTGCCGCGGTCGGGATGACCCTGGCCAAAGGGAGATTGGATCTGCACATAAAACCAGCCAGGGTGCGGTTCGACGATCATCAATGGCACAAAATCGTCGTCCACCGAAAGGTTCAAGAGGTAAGACCGTTATTATTTTATTCGTCAAATAATCCCCAACGCGTGAATTAAAATACGACGCGGGCAAATGTAGGGTCAAAAATAGAATTTGAATATAAAATTCAGAGATTGATTAATCGTAGAGGATGAACGCTATTTCAATTTTATATAAATGATTAATTGATATGTTTAAGTTGGATATATATCCAGGTCGCGTTAGTCTTTTAAATGTCTAATTTTAATGAGCGGAAGATGGAAAATCCATTATAGTACGGACGTTGAAGGTGTTAAATTTTCACACTGTCGCGATTCAAATGGATCGGCGAACGGACGTGAGAGCAATTTCGTTAATGTCATGGATATACAGTGGCATTCATTGCGCATTACGCGCAGTAGAATAGATAACGCAATTATTTGCGCGCTACCATCGTGGATTCCGTAAACTGCGGAATGACATGAGTTTATCAGTTTATTGCCACGAAATATTGGCACCCCTTGTCGAATTGTAACACACACTGCGGATCAACCGCGATAATTACAGTGAGAGCTAATATTTGTTTTGGAATCTGTTAATCTCGCAATGGATTGTTAATGAAAGACATTGTTTCGTTTATCCAATGCGCCTTGTTTCACAAATAAGTTTTATTTAAATATTCACAAAAATTAAAATTTGTAAAAGTGGCTTGAACGTTCGAATAGGGAAAGTTCTAAACTGATCGATATTGATAAAAGCGACTATTATAGATACGCTTCACTATACCGGTTGTGTATAGAGTAGCTCGGACAATCTCGCGAAAATAGCGTCACTTAGCCAAAACGCATTAAAGTACATGGTGAAAGCTTTGAATTTATCTCATTCCCATTCAATGGCTATCATCTCCGTCATTTTGGCCGCTTAAAATGTATGTTAACTGGAAGCGCGATTGATCGCGGATATATAGCATTTGATATATAGCGTTTTTTATCAAGCGCATTTCCTTTGCGAATTTGTGAATTCTGAAAGCTCCGAAGATTCCAATTCCCGAAAGCCCTTTATTCTCAATCGTCCATAATTTAAAAGCTATGGGCGCCTTGTTGACATTTCTGCAAAGAAGAAATCGATTTAAAATCGCTTAAAGAATTCTGCATTCGAAGGAAGTGCGCTCCAACGGCAAACACATGGGATCTTCTAGAGGCTTATCTATTTCTGACCAACCATTCGTTATCTTACATCAGAAACGGAATGCGCCATTTCGCCCTGTGTACGGTCACAATTTAAGGGCTGCGGATGTGCAGCGTGTCGAGAATTAGGTCGAGAATAGCGTATAGTCCGACTAATGTCCGCCGCTGCTTTGGATAATTTTCCTGAGCACACGTTGTTCGTTTGAGTCACTTCCGCAGCTTAGGTAAACGAGGAATCGATTCCTCAAGCAAAAGTGTGTTGCCAAAGAATCGTCCTCCGCGCTGTAGCTAGATCAGAAAAATATATATTTATTCAGCCCTGCAACATAAAGATTTTTATATTTTTTTCCCAAGCAAATATATAGTTTTAATATGATTACAACATTGTTATAAAGCGTAGATTTGAGCACAACGTAAACAATACCCAAGTGAAACAAAAAAAAATTATATAAAAGTTAAGATAACGATAAAATGATTGCAAACACTCATTTTTTGATTTTGATGATGAAAAATTGATGAAATTATGATTGTGAAACTGAACTTACTTAACTAT